GGAGTACGCGGAGGCGGCTCCCTGAGGGCGAATTTTCGGGACTTACATGCGGATGTATGGCTCAAGGTCCAGCTCTTTCCGCTCCGCGGCTGCGGCAGTTCGTGCTTTTAAGATTTCGCGGATGATGTATGACTGGAGGCGTCCGGGCTGGTCGTCCGCGGACTGCACCGACTTCTTCCAGGAAGCCGCTGCCGCCGCCCGTAGGGCCTGAGGTGGCCGCGAGGGCGGCATTTGATTGGGAGTGCGTCCGCTTGTCGACGCCTGCATACGTGGCATGAGAGGCGAGTTGGGAGTGATGCAACGTTATGAGACCAGTGCCAAAGGCGGTGGCAGGGTGGGCCGCCGCTTACTTGGGGGGACTCATCCGGCGCCAGGTCCCGCCCCGAGATAGAGCCGCCAAGCTTAGAGAGCAAATCGTCCAACGCCGCATCCTTAGCATTCAACTCATCCATGCTGGGCAGTTCTCGTATGCGTGCTTGGTCCTTTTCCGCCATCCGGTTAAGCGCCTCTGCCGAAATGAAAACACAGGCGATGCGCCCATCGTGACGAAAGGCCAAGAAAGTTGGGACCAAAAGGACAGCCAAACTCTCTTGCCTATTTCTTCAGGGCTAAAAGGCTTCAGCTTTCGTTGAGCGCCAGGGGCAACACGCTGGGCTAACTGCTTTGCGCTGGAAGACAAAGAGCTACCCATTGTTAATGCTGTATGAAACAGCGAAATGGTTTTTATGTTTTGTGTGCAACTTGTTGCTCTCAGACTGCACCTTTCGCTGGTAAAGGAATACGGCATCTGTGGACGATACCGTAACCGACATACCGGTTTCTATGTCACTAGGAGGAGCATGCTGTCTACAGGGGGAATTACAGCGATGCATAGCATATCCGACAGGGAGTCCAGGATGGCAGCAACAACATGTTTGGCAGAAGGCTTATTGTTATGTGCAACGAACTGGGTTTAGTCATCTTAAACGGTCGAGTTGCAGGTGACCGGGAGGGGGAGTTCAGTCTTTGGAGCAAAGGGGGTAAGAGCTTGAGTGTAATAGATTTGTTTGTCGTTTCACCGGCTCTGTTTTGGAAGGCGGTCCATCTTGCTGTCGGAAGTATACCAATTGCAACCGACGGTGATAGGTTCGGGGAGCTACGTAGTGATCACTGTCCTGTCCGGTTGGAGCTTGCAATCGCTTTGCGAGTCTCACCTGAGATCAGAGCCAAGCGCTACGCCTGTCCTCGTCTGGATACGAAGGACCAGGCGCGTAATGGTATAATGGTATCACCCATAATGGTATAATGGTATACAAGTAACACCCATGTGCAGTGAGATGGGACGGGGATGCGCCTTGGTGGGCTAGTGACTTTAACAGAAAGCTGTCATGGGCGAGACAAAAACTACACAACATGTCGCTAGGATAACGGACGTGTATAGCAATACGAAATAATATTATTTTATATTCATAATTTATTTGGATATACTCACGGGTGGACTTTAGGATAGCAGGTGGGTGTTTGGACCCAGGTCCTGCTAGGCTGCACCAGACCTGGCCCGTACGTCTTTAAAAAAATCCTAGAGCTTCTCAGTGTTTACAACATAGCATTGTGGTTGGAAGCGCCCGCAGAGCGGCGACCGTCATGAACCATGCATGACTCGTGCTTTGCTTGGAAGACAGCTGAAAAGAAGCTATAGCGTTAATACTTTCGTGGCGCATTCTTCTGCAGATGCCAGCGCCCGCGAATGGCAAAAAGGACGGTGCAAGGACTCCGACAGCTCGGCTGGCCGTTGCAGCTACAGCTGCCGCCTCGGAACCAAAGCCCGCCTATTCTCCGTATAACATGAACGGGCCTGAGGACC